TCACCTTCAAAAAAGACGAGGACAGGATGCCATCGTGAGGAAAATGACGTCAATGAGCGACGACCAGAATGTGAGCCTACTCCACGAGGCATCAGGTTGAACAGACATTTCACAGGTGAAAAATCCTGCACTGAACATACACGGAACTCTCCAAACCCGCTATAGATCCAATCAGGAGACGAGCGGGTACAACCGAAACAATGAAAACAAGTAACTACAAACGGGGTCGGCATACAGAGGCTAGTCAGATCCCTCGGCGACGTCATGCAGTATAGACCTCGATTATAATTGACAAGCTTAGATGTTTAAGAAAAATTAATATTGGTCTTGAAAATTGCCTGTAGCCCTCCCGGCTGTAATTCTGAGGCTCTAGGAAATTTTCGAAACTTCCGACCGTTTTCACCGTACTTACCATCAAACACTCCAGATCAATGTGGTTAACGCACGATAATATTGGCTCGGTGCAAAATAGGATGGGCCGAACGGTGGCATCCAAAAGGTTCCAGTAACCGGTCGGCAGTGCAACTGTGGGCAAATCGGATAACAAACTCTAACTGCTGCCTCAGCTCCACGTTACCTAGTGCGCCTCGAAGCAGCGCACAACAAGAGCTCCCCGTCGATTAAATTTATGCATAAGGTTGGACAGAGATGGGCTGTTGAAGAGTTCAAGGTTATGCAGTGGACATCTTGCAGTGGCATGGCCGGAATCGGAACTTTAACTTCGTACGGCTGTGATTCCTGATCTAGCCGGCCTCGATGTTACGACGGTGCACGAGGATCTGCGATAGCGCACCTGGACAGCTAGACCCATTCTCGTCGCCAGCAATGGAAATCGAGTGCTCAAGGTCCAAGAACCAATTCCATGTCTTTACGAACTGTGCCGAGCCAGGTTCTGAGTCGGCCTTCTCTTCGACGCCTCTAAGTGGGCAACAGCGTCGGATCAAGGACACCAACATTGGGCTCGTGGGATAGACGACGAAGAATGTGACCAAGCCACCTCAATCGTCTTTCTTGGATGGGATATCCTCGCGATATCGCAGCACCTGGACTGCCTCATTTGAGAAACCTGTATACTACACTCGGTAACGGTTCTCAAGCATCAGTGGTTCAGTACCTCAAATTTTCACTCATGCTCCACGCGCACCGCCAAACTCGCAGCCATAAACAGGGACTGACCGAGCGGAGGCACAGTACACGCGGATCCATCTATGCAAAGGCTAAATATGCACGTGAGGGGTAGCGACAGTTCCCTGCCGTCAGGGGGGCGCCGCATACCACCTTCTAGCTTACGGAAATCTCGTAGTACCTAACTTTCGTTGACAAATACCAAATCGTCGGCGGTTTCACGTAAGTGTAACTGTACGACGACTTCCAGGTAGCAGACGGATGCGCAATCAACCATTTGTTGACTTGGAATGATTTAAACCAAACTACCAGGACAGATAACTTTCCGAGTCGCATAATAATGCAGAAAAAGTCTGTAGAAACCGACACAGCAGCAGAAACTATACGTAAGCTGAGTCCGAAAATATGGTGGTCTGCACAAAGAAAGACCATAGCCAGTATGAGAAATTGGGTCAGCTAAGGACTACAAAAGCATCTTATAATAACGTAACCAGCATGTACGTTAAAGCGTGCTCACTGCCCACATTGTGACTTGAGAGCACAGACTATGCCTCACTCTCGTGCATGTGCAGGTGGGTCTTCTTACTAAGTTCACATCGGTCCAAGCACCTACCGGGGTCAAAGGCTGCGCGTGATTGGTCGATACAACTGTCCGGTCCTCTCTTACCTTGGGCAATTGTAGAAAGTTCGACCTAATGACAGGCTGACCACCAGCACGACGGCCTACCCGGACACTGTGACTAACAGGATACCTACAACAGTGTAACTTAAGGCGGCCAGCTCTATCTATGAATAGCCAATTTCCCAGTCAGCTTACACAGCATTCCTGCCTACCTGCAGCACTAACGTAGGCAATATGTGCAATGCAGAGACCACGACCTAATATAACAGCGGCGTAGTCCACCGTAACGTATTAAGTAAGCCAGCCTGTCGCTTAGATTAACAGTCAATAAGGGAACACAACATTATGGACGCCTGCGGTGGAGTAAAAGAAGTCCACTTTGCCATGCCGAAGGCCATACTATTTGTCGGTACAGCCCCGTGAAGCTGGAAGCAGTCGGGCACGGTGACCGTAGACTTTTGTGGCAACATCAGGACATGCTATGATCGTCATTGCATGGTGAAGCGTCGCTCCAGCTATCGAGTATGGTGCCCATTGACAAAATCTAGGCATGAAACCGCTGGTTGGGTAAAGCTAACTACATGTCGTTTCCCTCGGTTCCGTTATCCCAAAAGCGTACCCTTAGGCGGGTTAAACCCTCACATTGCCCCAGTTATTATCTAACAGTCACCCCTAAGGCAAGCTACGCTCACTGTACCGCGCCAGCGCTTGAGAGAGAAGACGATGCGCTGCTGACGTAAAAAGAGTTCGCCACTATTCCCTCTACCAAAAGGCGAGTTAAAATACTGCCCACCTCACCGAAGGGGTTGTCGCGCGTCAGCCATCACGGACGTGGCATATGCTGAAGGTCGAATTTAAAAAACTTGGGTATGGAAATTAAGAAGTATGGTATAAATAGGACTCCACATAACCGTGTCCTTTGAGCAGTGATCCCGTCGGCAATACATAACTTAATACGTAACGGTTCGCGTTGATAGCGTCATCAAACTCGGCGTCACTTTACAAGGCAGTCAGCCTGTCAGGCCCTGAACACCGTCAACAATGTTGTTCCTTGCCTACAATCGCCTCTGAATTCCTCCTAACAGCCCGCTTACCTTGCATGCAAACCTTACTGATGCCCCCTCTGCCATCGGACACTGCGCAGGATAGGTATAATGAATTAGGCTAGAAGCTGCTCCACTCAATGCTTTCAGTCAACGTGGTCACGTAAAGCTAGTTCAGGTGCACAACCGACAAATAGACGACCCACTGGCCCTGAGCACGATGCGGAGACTACGCTGGCGCACCTCACCCAAGTGACCGCATAATAATGAACGAGGTAGAACTTGTGGTTGTGTGGCTAGACTCCACATCGCCATTTGGCGACTACTAAAAACCTCTGTCACGATTGTGGGACGAAGCGGTGGGTGGATTCCCCACACGTAGTTATACTAGGTGCCACGGTCAATAGACCAGTATTTACGGGGATTCGGCTATAATGTCGTCCTCGATCAGTCAAGACGACCTTTCTGAACGGGATAAACAAGTCCCACACGTTAACATCCAGGCTGTCTTAGGAGCAAAGACAGCCTAAATTCCTTAGATCCTACCACAGGTGCGGCAGATGCGCCATTTGGTAGGAACTCTTTCATATTCGAAGCCAGCACAGCGGTCCACACCAAAAGGTCGGCTCTTGGATTAAGATTGAACAGGCGACTAGGGTTTTACTGGGGGTTATGACGCGAAGACACGAGTGTTAGTAGAGTTGCGTTAAACGTGCTGGTCAAGAATATGGATGGGAACCATGATGGCGTGCAGGCTTTGCGAGACGTCATCTGCCAGAGCAAACCATTTGCTTTGAGGAACTTGCAAAAAATCACCTTCCTGCGGTAAGGCACAACTAAGGGAATCTGCACTTAATTCCTCGCAAGTCTACTAAGTCGGGAAAAACCCTCGAGAGGAAGTTGGAGGGAATTTGACTCAAACAACAAGTGTGAAAATAAAAGTAGTGCAGGGTGATGTTTGAGTAGTTACTCAGCCAATACAAACAGAAGGCGTGTCCAAGGGCCAAAAGCCAACACGACAGGAATGCGTTACATTAACAAAGTGGTGAAGAAACAGAAAATTTACTGTCACACCGAAGAACACCATTAAAGAAACTAATGAAACCATGCAGACGGAATCTGGATGGGGGTGGCCCGTTAGTAAAGTAGGCATGTTTAGCGTTGCAGTCACATCTTAGAGAACTGCAAACCGTATTTGTAAGCTGAGTTAGACCACAGCGAGGAACAAGGTGAGAGGATTCCAATGATTGTGGCCGAAATTGAGCATACTAACGAGTTAAGTCAATATCCAAAGGACAGCCGCCGTAATTCGTCAAAACCCTGTCCGCAGAGTTAGAGTAAAAGACACATGCCAAGAAAATGCGGTTAGGATGCATGTTTCTGTCGCGGCGAACGATAGAACATGCACCGCATTATGAACGACTTCTACCACCCGTACCTAAAAGACTTCAGGGGTCAACAACGAGAGGTAAGTGCTAGAAGTCGTCAACGAGGCAGAAAACTGTACGCGAAGGTTAGCTACAGTATTCGAACCGGCTCAAATCTAACATACACTCGAGACTCGCTGACCCTAGAGAAAGAAAAAAGGCATGGGTCAACAAAATACCACAAACTGACGGCCACCGTTACATGAAAGTGGGTTTGAAGCTTATGGTGAACCACACGAATTTAGCGAGTAGGCCGGATGTGGACAACATGAATCATTACCTGGGCAGAACACCATGTAGGAGTAAGGCAACAATCTGTTGCAGGAAGTTTAAGGCATAAATAACTTCTAATTGCTAATAAACACTTGAGCAGGTAAAATAGGTCCCTTGCCTCTGCTCAGAAACAGGGCCGGGCAAGAGCTCCAATTGGTCGTTTTCGAGCGTTCGTCATCGGTAAGATCCTAAAATTAGTTTCAACTGCGATGGACCCCTTCCACTTTTCATTGGACAAATAAAAAGACGACACTAATGCGAGCAGTTTTAATGTTAGTTATTTAGCAATATTTAGTTGACAAATGGGAACATTTAACAGTTTACGTAAAACGCGATGAAAATATTTCATATTTTGCTACACAAAATTGAGTTGTTGATCGGAAGGTTTTATCCGGCTTTAGACAAAGTTACGGCTTGCGCGGCTGCAAACCAAATGCACGGCTGGAGTTTACTTTTGTAGTCGGTCAATTAAATTTTCATGAACAGTCGGGTTATTGAGAGTTTAGAGGATCAAGCGGTATCTTCCTTCGCTCCAGGGCGACCGTATGGATGGACACGCGCACGGCCGCGACTATCAGAGACGGTAATTTTGCCCCAAGCATCGGTTTGGCCTAGGTCGAAAATTTGACAGTTAGATTATTTTTGTGATTTTGAGCATGATGATTGCATTGTCTGATTTCAAACCTACCATATGCACCGGAATAATCTTCATAACTTGTCGTGTCGTATTCTGTTTGCTCGTATCCTGTATGGCCCTGGTAAGAGTATGGCTCCATGCTATTACCATAACAATCTGCTCCTGCAGTGGGCATCGGCTGAGGTGGCGGTGGTGGCATTTGTGGAGCGTTGCCATTGACGGGCGGAGGGCACGACGCCCAACCACGACCGCGGTTACCTCCCCTACCTCGCATGGGAGGACCCGTCGGCGAAGGGACAGGGTTATTGAAATTCATTGCCGCTACATAGGAAGCTTGGTTTACAAACCCCCGACCTCGTCCACCACGGCCACCAGGAGACCCCCTGGTCGGGGTACCCTGCCCTGCAGCCCAAGGAGGGGCTGGTGTCCCAGAAGAGTCCTAAGGAGGAGTTAGGTTCGGAATGAGACGTACCGGTAACATCACACGCCGGACCTGAGCGAGAGCGTGAGAAATGTTGTAATATGCCTCAGCGGGGGGCGCAAGGGCGTCAATCTGCAAATGTAAACTTTGTTTCAGATGCTGATATTTAGGGTCGCCACTAGAGAGCAACTCCTTTTCCTTGGCTTCGTCTCTGAGAGATCCCGCGCCAAGGATGGCCATCTTCGTCCTCGTCTCATCCTGTATGCCGCGAAGGGTTTGTCCACCAGGTCCAAGCAATTTCCCCACAAAATTAACATATGGATATTGTTCAGTGGGTATGTTGACTTTCGCTCGCACCTTAACACGACGGTTCTCAACTAAGTCAAGCGAATCGGCAATGCCACCACGGAGACGAAACAGCTCTAAGAAATAGTTTTCAAAACACGACATACCATTTTCTCCAATGCTTTTTAGCTGGGGGAATGCATTTTCATCAATGTTCTGGATTTCCCTGACGAGGACTTCGGTTACGGCGCTGTTGTCCGCCTTCCTTTCTTCGTTCGACATGAGTCACTACACAATGTGCGGCAAGATGGCCGTAGAAGATTAAGGTCAATTAAAACAAAATCTTCAAAAAAGTGATAAAACGATTTTTTCTGGGGTTTTAAATAAAATAAATTTAGAAAAAAGAAAAGTATTTTCGCAGATTGTTTAGAGTATAAGGCGGTGGCTTTGACGGTGGCGGCCCTCGGTAATTCATTGTGCTCCTCGGCGACTGCGTTCAGTTGCTTCTCGGCGGTCCTCTGCTCAAGATGATTCGTTTCTCAAAGACTGCATTGCGTTCTTTGTCAGCTGTGTCAAAGTCAATTGTGCGCACTGAAATTGCAGGCGCCACACATACCCTTGAGGTTCGTAAACAGATAAACGACAAACGGTCTGAAATTCTCCTGGGTGGCGGCCTAAAGCGTATTGATGCTCAGCACAAAAGAGGAAAATTGACCGCTAGAGAGAGAATCGATCTGCTCCTCGATGAAGGAAGTTTTCAGGAATACGACGCATTCGTAGAGCATGACTGCGTCGAATTTGGCATGCAAAAGTCAAAAATTCCATGTGATAGTGTCGTCACCGGACACGGAACAATAAACGGTCGAAAAGTTTTCTTATTCAGGTATCTCAGAACCTGATTGTTTTGCGTTTTGTATTTTTTCGAAATCCTCGTGCCCTTATTTGTCAAGTACTCGACTCCATCTAGGTTGGTCACCTAGAGCTAGCTCATCGTGTTCCGTTTATAAGGAATACTCAGCTGTTAGTGTCATATACAAGGCATAGACAGATACTATAGTTAATTGAATAGGAGGTTTTGGTCGGTAACAAAACTCCTGTTTTCCGACAAGAGGTCACCGCTGTATATTGCATCCTTGCTTTGACGGTCAAAAATGTAGGCCTTCGTCCTGGCCTTATTTCCTGCGAATACTAATCTGAGACAGTTTCTGGTCCAGTTTAGTTTTATTACCGTCTTCATTGGTGACGTTAATTTCATGGTGCAGATCGCGACTGTTTCGTTATTTCATTACTCTACTCTATTAACTTTCATTTAATGTAATTGTCATTCATTGGTTTTGATATTGCTCACTTTGGCATACAATTTTAAATCTTAGTCATGTGGAAGCTAACTTTTTACATGCAAATGATAATTTTAGCCTTAACTAGTTGCGAATACTGACCGTGACTAAATGACGAGCGCAGTTGTTAACGAGCTTCTTTTTCTGTAGTTTGGGGCTGTCTACTTTGCCATATTTTGTGCGAAATTATGTGGGACTTTTCGTCCGCTACCCAATTCTTGTCTCCCAGGCCAATAGTTGTTGAAACTTTCGTCTTAAAAGTTGCTTCATCTCACTTCCGCTTATACTATCACCATTTGACCAGCTTAATTCTTTGACGACAAGGATCAATGACATTTGCGTTACGATTCTTTCCACATCAGTAGGAGTTGCCTTGTCATTTAACAATCCACAATTTTAACTCTTTTAGCCAGGACTTTACAGTGTACGGCGGTAGCTTGAGCATGGTGCATGCCAAGAAGATATGTAAAGTTATGGACCAGGCCATGCTTGTAGGCGCCCCAGTGATTGGTCTAAATGATTCCGGTGGTGCACGTATCCAGGAGGGCGTATCCTCTCTCGCCGGCTATGCCGAAATCTTCCAGCGGAATGTAAATGCTTCAGGTGTTATCCCGCAGATTTCTATGATCCTCGGACCATGCGCTGGCGGCGCTGTCTACTCCCCAGCTCTCACCGATTGGATATTCATGGTCCAAGATACATCCTACCTTTTCATCACTGGTCCTGATGTGGTCAAGTCAGTAACGAATGAAGATGTCACTCAGGTACTTTTTATTCTTGACTTAAGAACACATCTTAAGTATGGTGAAGTCCTATAGTAATCGCTAGTATATTTTTGTCTGCTTTTGCAGGAGGAGCTTGGCGGCGCAAAGACACACACCACCGTCTCTGGCGTTGCCCATAATTCCTACGACAACGATGTCGAAGCTCTCCTTAGTCTTAGAGAGTTCATGAGCTTTTTGCCGTCATCCAACAAGGAAGCTGCCCCCATCCGCGCATGCAATGACCCAGTCACACGAATGGTGCCATCCTTGGACACCGCCGTGCCCCTGGAGCCTACTAGCGCTTACAACATCCTGGATATAGTGCATGTAAGTGGGGCCAAGTACATTTTTTTCGAAGATTTATTAAGATTTACCGGCTCCTTTTCTGTAATACTATTTGCTCTGCTTGTTTAGGAAACTGTAGATGAACGTGAGTTCTTCGAAATCATGCCAAACTACGCAAAGAACATCGTCGTCGGCTTTGCGCGTATGGGTGGTGAAACGGTCGGGATTGTCGCAAACCAGCCGCGAGTCGCCGCCGGGTGCTTGGACATTAACGCCTCCGTAAAAGGTGCACGGTTCGTGCGTTTCTGTGATGCCTTCAACATTCCCCTCATCACGTTCGTCGACGTACCGGGTTTCCTGCCAGGTACGGCACAGGAGTACGGAGGCATCATTCGTCATGGTGCTAAGCTCATCTATGCTTACTCCGAAGCTACTGTTCCGAAGCTGACCGTCATTACTAGAAAGGCCTACGGTGGAGCTTACTGTGTCATGAGCTCTAAACATCTTCGCGGCGACATAAATTACGCCTGGCCAACTGCCGAAGTAAGTTTCATGTATTGATAACTTATACTCATCTAATATTAAAATGAAAGAATTGGTGGTGGCTTGATGTCAATTCGAACAATGTTAAGCGATTTTAACTTATTTTGACATTTAAGATCGCAGTCATGGGAGCCAAAGGAGCCGTTCAGATTATTTTCCGTGGCAAGGATGACAAATCTGCCGCCGAGGACAATTACGTTCGCGCGTTTGCCAATCCTTTCCCAGCGGCTGTGCGAGGCTTCGTGGACAACATAATTGATCCACACACAACCCGCGCACGGCTCTGTGGGGACCTAAAGATGCTGAGGACCAAGAAACTGGACAACCCATGGAAGAAACACGCAAACATGCCGCTGTAGAAATAGTTCCCATGTGTTTTTTTACCTGAGACGCTACGATTTGCCCGCTTGCCGCCCCTCCGACTTTGACATTTGATCAAGATCGCGATTATCAGTTTTCAAGAAAGAAACGATTATATGTGCAAAGATTTTTATTCACAATGGATGCGAACCATCGGGTCATTGAGGGGGGGAACGGAGTAAGGAAGAAACCGAGCGTACTGCTTTATTTCTCTTCGCTTTTGATTTTCTCATCGGGATGCGCTTGTGTATCAGTAGAAAAAGGCATCTAAAAATAAGTGGAAAAATTCAGTTGAAGAGTTATCTGTACCTTGGGATCCTAAGAGCCACATTTATACGTGTAATCGGCTCTATAATCAGTCTAGTGAAGCAGTATTTAATGAGAATACCCTTACAATATAAGATTTATACAGCAGTGCGATTAACGAAATCTCGAATTAGGCCTTTGACACAGAATACTCCGAGTCCAGCGCATCTGAGTGAGCTGGCAAAAACAATAACCACCTGCAGAGAAGAGGGCCAGTTTCTTTAGCGCAGTGTTGAGCTCCATCTGAATTATGTTTGTTGTATCAAGAACTGGGCTTTGAATAAGATATCTGATGTTGCATGGCTCTAACTCAACGGTACGAACCGCGAAACATGACGCAGGTCGTTGCAAGGATTCCGTCATTGCTACAGGCTTCTGTCTAATTATCTCCGCCAGGAACTTATAACTCGAAGTAATCTAGACTTTCCAAAGTATACCGCAAACGTTAAACAACAGGCGTCGCCCCCTAGATGGACCTTCAGTTAAACGGCTTGACCAAATGTGGCAGAGCCCCTCCCCGTAGTCGAGACGACAGAATTTTAAAAGTTAACGTCATGCATCAAAAGCAGCCGCAAAATAAAATCTGCCTATGCAAAAGCTGGCACCAACTGGCAACGTCGAGTCATGAAGGAAAACCAACCCATAAATTCACATGCATCAACGATCAACGATAACCAGGATGAAGCACAGCGCCCAAATATAAGGAGCACTAAATCAGTATTCTGAACCTGAGAGATTCGGAACTCTAATAATCCATTTCAAGGCCGTCCGGCGCCCGAGTATAATTAAATTGCAGTGGACATCCTGCTTTCGTGGAAGATTCTATGGCTACATTTTTCTAGCCATTTAGATGGATTGAAGTCAAGTAAAGATCACGACTGGATGCCACGACGTATACTATGACTGCCAAGAACACATTATTAGGGTCTCTGAATTAGCTCTGTTACTTCATTAGTAAACAGAAAACGGGATAAGCTTACTTATGGTATGCATTGGCCGGGATACACCGTGTCCGATGGACTCCTTCGTTACTGCCGCACATGCGCTCAGCGAACTTCAAATAGAGGCTCATGACACATCATTTAATATACCCAGACGTTGCCAATAGAAGCGAAGAGCCGAGTCCCAGGAAGTAGTCTTGAAGAAGGAGACACGATCGCCGGGACAAGAGCTTTATTAGCCTGACGTTTCGGATTCCTACTCGAATCCATCATCAGAGACAAAAGAGCAGAAACCCGTTTCTGCAGTAGGTGTGATAACTCACGAAATGTTAACGGAAATTCTGAAATGCGTTTTCGTTTCAAAAAGATTACTTAGGCAGGGTTTTAAAAGTAATTACCATGCAGCATAATTCTGTAATAATTCAGTTACCTGGGGATGCTGGCTTTCGAACGAAAATCTTACCGGCCGCATGCAAAAACTATACTTTGCAAAAATGACTACTTAAGTAGCATTAATTTTTTATTGATTTTAGATGCCTTTAAAAATTAAATTATATTTCATGGGAAGCATGCATAAAAATATTCATTCTTTCACTCATTCGGTGGAAAATTGCGTCTTCCAATTTTATACTCGAAGGCAGGGTTTAACTCGATTTCAAAAAACTTCCAATCTCCGAATAATTTTGAACCCGACCTGCCATTACACTTGCATTCAGGGTTTATAAACTACAAACCACATAGTTCTCTACGGTGTTAAGAGGAGACCATATGGAGTTCATAAAATCTAGCGGTGGATTTGAGTCATATCGTAAACTTTACAAGCAACACTAGTAAATGCAGAGACGCGCTGTTTTATGAAAGGGTATCTCACGATATAAAAAATCTCACAAGAAGAAGCTTTTTAAAACCGAATTATGTCCTTCCTTCGACTATGAAATTGGATATAGACGTAATTTTCTACCGAATGAGTAAAAAATGAATATTTTAGTGCATGCTTTCCATGAAATATAATTGAATTTTTAAGGGCATCTAAAATCAATAAAAAAATTAATGCTACTTAAGAAGTCATTTTTGCAGAGTATAGTTTTCGCATGCGGCTGGAAAGATGTGCTTTTGAAAGCCAGCATCTCGAGGTAACTGAATGATTATAGAATTATGCAGCACGATAATTAATTTTAAAACCCTACTTAAGTAATCTTTTCGAAATGAAAACTCATTTCAGAATTTCCGTCAACATTTACTGAGTTAGCACACCTACTGTAGAGGTGGTATTTTTTGTGAACGGAGGTCGAACAATGGTCGAACCCTTAAAAGTTTTTAGGACTGAATAAAGCTTATTGCAGTCCTCTCTCCAGACTGAACTTTCTCTTTGGCCAGTTCATCTTGTCTTCTCTTTCGACCACTCCCCTCTTTGCTCCTGGGTAACATACTATGCAGTCGTGTCAACATATTCAAAAATTTATTTAAAACGATAGACTGAAATCTTAAAAAGCAAAGTTCCAAAACGGCAAGTCTGACGGAAGGGCCCAAATCGGCGGACTTCCTAGGAAGCCTGGAACTAAGATTGCCATTTTGCTAAAAGTACTGATTAAAAATGAGGTCTGATATGAAATGAAGGATGAGGCTTCCTTATAATCGTCGCATTTCTATATGACTAGAATTCGAGTAACAACTAGAACCAATAAACCTAAGGTCAGGAAGTACAATCTGCTAACTAAAGTGCTCAGCGACACACACATAAGGACCAATATGCGTTGGCTTTATCCAAATGTTGTCTATCTAGGCAACAGACGCGCAAAAGTAGGCCTGGACCCCGTTGTGTGCACTCTCGCTTAATATACGTTGGGCGTACCGACTGGTGAATCAATGTGGAGTGCACTCAAACACACTTTGAAGGAATAAGTCGAGATCAACAAATAGTATCTCAACCAACCAAGCAAAAGGAAGTCGAGCGAGGAGAAGGCAGTAGTACTTCACATGCAACGCATAATGCGAAATGGAAAGGATGTCTAATCTCGTTCTCAATCAATCTGCCTAGGGCGCACGATCCAAGGCAGTGCCTGAACCAACAAGTACACAAATGCCACTCGCCTATTTGCAGATTTCTTCAGTCGTAGAGCATATCTAAAATATTCGCCAAGTATTTTCACTTATTTTCGGGAATAGATCATTTTTACATGCAGATGATCTAGCAATTTTCAAATACCACTATTAGTGTAGACACGGCAAATAATATTGGAAGGTTTTAGGATGATAATTTAAAGTATGCTTGGCGTTTGAACAGTAAAATAGGCAGTCATGAGCGTTTTCGGAGGAGTCTCAAGTATCCACGGGTTTCAGCTATTCGCGGGTAGCTCTGATCCTCAACCCCTGCAAATACCAGGGGTCAGCGGTATAGGAGGCGCGCAGGGACTATGGGCCGACGGCTCTCACCTAAATCGTCTGGCTCCAGCAATTATAAGTTCGATCCTCGTCCTAGTGGAAGAGGAATCACACCTGACACTAAAAGAGGATAACAATAATGCTAGGTTTCTTTGTTTGCGTATCACCCTATCGTGGGTCGCACTTATTGTGGATTCCCTCTGACAAACAAGCCCAGTCGGCGCTGAAGGAGAGAGGGGAAACTATTCTAGCATTGCACGAAAACACATTGTATAGAAGAAAGGTCATAGAAGGCCGCTGTGAGTAGAATTAGACTACCTGAGCAGTTGGCTAGTGAGCGGAAAACGGCTAGCTGTTGGTTTGCTGGCGTGTACTCTCCTATACCTGCTACTCTGGATTTCGTCGGTTGGGGCAGCAAACTGTTGTCACATCTACTATTTAGAGTATTAATTTGGGTGGCTCTTGGAGCAGAAAGTAGAAAAACACGGTGGATCATCATGTATCAAACGGTCAGAACAGATGAAATCTTTGATCGTTTGGTCTCCAGAACACTAAAAGACCCTAAATCAAACGTCCTTTCTTGGTCAGACTTAACCATTGTAATCCAATTTCTGATCGATGATCAAGGCGACGAGATTGGCTTAGATAAGAGTCTGGACAGTTAACGTTACGGACGGGTTCCTCATGGTTGTGTGCAGCGTTCACTTTAGTCCTGACATGGGACCGGCACTGGTATTAAGGAAGTGAGGTAAACGGCGGTCGAGATCTTGCCCCTAAGGAGCAGCGGTGCAATACCATCAAGTAGCGCGTTGATTTCCTCAACTGCAAATGCAGATCCGTGGCCAAGACTAAGCGACCAAGGCATGGGCGTGTCATTGTCACGACCAAAGCCAAAGGAATATTAGGCTATCTGTATGTCCTCGAAGTCGTGAAGTGTTGCATCCCTGCTGATTATGTCGATCTCATGCTGCAGTTTCTGCAAATTGAGTGCTCGTCTTTCACTATAGTGGGTTAGTGGTAGACTCTCGAGAGAAGCTGAAACGCTTGGTACACTAGACCGACAGGTGGAAGAATCAGAAATCCGGAACAGATCACGTTTTAATCTATACACTCAAATCTTCAACAAGACAGCTCAAAACCGTCCCCAGCCAAAGTGGGGAGCTTGCAGCCTCAGACGATTTAATCTTCAGGTCGACGCAGCACATCGCTGAAACAACTCAATGGGTTATTCAGAAGAAATAAGCTCTAAATTTACTCCGAAAAACTCACCTTACCTAAAGATTTCGAGAGCATGGTATAAGCACCAGAGGACAGGAGGCTTCTACACAATGCATCTCTCTAGAATGAATCGAACATGTCTCACATCTGTA